GTCTCAGACTTGGAGCAGGACAGCAGTAGATTTGAGGGCCAAATTCACGACACCGAAAGGTTTGATAGTCACTGTTCCCGGGCACCTTTCCAAAACGATTTGCTCTCAGAGCAGGGATCCGAGGCACAAACTGAATCCACACGATCTGTCGAGGACCTGAGGTCTGAGACGGAGCCTCGGTATCAGCGGCTGCTGGTGGAAGGGCCCGATCACTTCGACGAGGTCTCCGCACGTGCCTGTGTGGGTTGGGAGGAAGCATCGCAAACAGGTGTGCAGGTAATGCTGGATGCCCCCATGCTAGTGGTGGACATCTTGGAGCCGGGAGACCTGGCCGCGTTGTTTGAAGATAGCCAGGCAGATCGGTTAGTAAGTGGTGTCGCTGGGAATACTCTGTCTCCAGTTTCTGTGGAGCACATTTCTGCTGCTCAGTCTCGTGCAGGAGAACCTGCCTCCATGGTTGATTTCAATGAGGAGCTTTCAGCCATGACCAGTAGCCTGGAGCAGCTGGGCACTGCCGGGCTAGACAGCACGGAGGAGTTTCCATGTGTATGGCCAGCTGTAGAAGAGCCTGCCCTTGAGTCTGAAGTTCCAGCAGTAAAGCTTTCTAGTGTGGTGCTGCCAGGTCCAGAGGAGTTTGCCGCCCTTGTCATGGCGTCTGGTGTAGCAGATCTTCCCCCTGACGTTCCAGCAGCAGAGGAGCTCTCTAGCATCACCGCATCCAGCATGGAGGAGTTTGGCATCACAGCTGACCCCGGCTCGGAGGAGCTGGAGTTTTCTAGCATCATTGCATCCAGCATGGAGGAGTTTGGCATCACAGCAGACCCCGGCTCAGAGGAGCAGGAGTTTTCTAGCATCATCGCATCCAGCATGGAGGAGTTTGGCATCATGGCAGACCCCGGCTCGGAAGAGCTGGAGTTTTCTAGCATCATTGCATCTAGCACGGAGGAGTTTGGCATCATGGCTGACCCCGGCTCAGAGGAGCTGGAGTTTTCTAACATCACAGCATCCAGCACGGAGGAGTTTGGCATCACGGCTGACCCCAGCTCAGAGGAGCTGGAGTTTTCTAACATCACCGCATCCAGCACGGAGGAGTTTGGCATCATGGCAGACCCTGGCTCAGAGGAGCATGCTTTCAAAGCAGCTGGGATGGAGGAGCTGACCACAGCCCTGCCATTCAGCAGGGAAGAGGAGCTTGCTGCTATACTTCCTGTCCTGGAGGAGCCATCTGCTGCTGTCCCCACACCTGTAGCAGCATGTGCCTCTGTGCACAGTGCCAAAATGCTCGCTCTTGCCACCTTGGAGGACACCCCAGCTCCAGATCTCCAAGGAAAAGAACTTGCTACTGCAGCACCTGCGGTGAAGCAGTCGACTGCCACGGTGCCCGACACAAAGGGGCCTGCTGTCATGCTTCTTGTTGCTGATGGGCCCCCTGCTTTAACAGATGGATTAGTTCCAGATAACGAGGTATTTGTTACTCAGTCACTAACACAGGGTGTGCCAGACACAATCACTTTATTTGGCCGGGGGAGGGGGAGGAGGGGAGGGTGCAATCTCCCCCAGCCGATGATTTATCGGTAGTCTGTGGGATGCACACAGTAACCGCCATCTCTTCTGTCCACGCTCTGCAACCTAAAGGTTGAGGTAGCGTCCCTTCCTTCCCTCCTCGAGATCTGGAGGGCCAGTGTATGGTTTAGGGAGATGCAAAGGTTGTCGTAAGTATGGGAGGTAAAAGAGATTTGCTTGATTATGTAAAACTTTTCAAGCGACTGGTTTATTGAAATACACACTGCTCCCTCAGAAATAAATTATGGATTGCTTCAGGAAGATTTTCTTCTCGCTGGTCGAGCTGGGTAGTTGCAGCATTTCAAGTAGAAAATTTGTTACTAGAGGAAATGGCATGAAGCAAATTGGGTGAAAACACCACTTGCATCGTGTTAATGCCTAGGGGAAGCTTTGTTTGTTTGTTTGCGCAGCAACATCCTGAAACACCAGGAAAAGAAAGGAGTCCAGTTCCTTTTGGCCCTGTAAAACCCACTTAATGTGAAAATTGGTTGCAAGGGGGCTAGGAGCATACCTTTTTCCAGTTTGTGGTATGCCAATAACTAAAGGCCCGTTTACAGCCACCGAGGTTAGTGAAATGATCAGTTAGCAGTCATCACAAGTTACTCAGCACATCAGCCCGATTCAGTAGCAGTTTCTCATCCTTTGTGCTCTGCCACCCATTAAAAAAATTCACGAGCACCACAGATTCGGAAAGGCTTTGAAATAGAGGTGGGGACGTAGCACGGCAGAGCGGAGAGGTCAGTTTACAAGGAGTTTCCTTTGATTGGAGTGCCAGGCTCTGCCACCCCGGCCAGTAAATTAGGAAAGGAAAAGCGACATGAAGGTATTGACATCATGAGGCTGTTGTCTGGATTTACTGCCTTGGTTTCATTGTTGCCTCTCCAGTGGGACTATATTTTATAAGAAACCTTTCCAGTTGTTAACCCCTTTGATCCAGCGATGGTTTCACTACCGATTGTGCAGTTGATGAGCGTAGCGCTTACATCAGGGGAATGCTGTGTAATAATAAATAATACCTTTATTAACGTAAAGGTAATGTTCAAGCAAAATGCTCTTCCAGGTTTGCATCTCATCCTTATGAAGGACGTCGCCTTTGAATTGTTGGTTCCATCAGAGCACCAGCGGAGAATTGCTGAAGGAGGGCTGGGTGCATTTGTGTTCAGAGATAAAGGGGTTAAGGAGCAGAGTGAGATCACAGGATGCAGTCATCCATGAGATGAACAAAGTAGAATGCAAAGAGAGTCTCTGGAAAGTATTTCTCAAAAGGAGAGGGACATGTATCTAAACAGATGCAGCCCCTTTACAGGCGTATTCGCCAGATACAGCTCCAAGAACCCGGCTCTTCGCATAGTTCTGTGCAAAATCTAGATTGCACATGAAATGTTTGTTTCCGAGTTGAGTCACAGTGAGGGGAAGTGAACTAAAACATTGGACTCTTTTGTACACACAGAAGAACAAAGGCATGAAAAGTATTTGCACTTAACACTGGAGTTGCTTTTTAAAATGATCCTTGTGAAACAGGCTTTGCTTTCTGGGCTTTCCTTTGATATTGGTAGATATCAGGGACTTTGCATTGGGCTCCTGCAAAAAACCCCCCCAAAACAACACAGTTTTAAAGTCTGCTTTGGTTAGAAAATGACAAGTTTAATATTTAAGGCTTAGGCCAGCACATCAGAAGAAAGAGGCACTGTGCACTCCAATCAGTTTTTGCATGCCTGACTTATCAGCACCTGATGAAGTGAACTTGGGTTCACAAAGGCTTGTGCTCTCTCTCTATATCTTATTTAGTTAGTCTGTAACGGTGCAGATCTGCCCTACCTTCTGAGTGATTTCAGACTAACGGGGCTAACTACCTCTCTCTTACCCGTCTGGGCCTTTCATGTGTTCGGCTGCCTTTGAGCAGGCAGCTCCATATACAAGCAGTAACAGGAGACGTGTTTGGGGAATCAGCGATTTCATGTCACCATCACTTCTTATAACGGGAGAATAATTCTGCACCAGCACACAGCCCTGGACGGGCTCCCAGTGCGCTCTTTAGTTTAACATCCTGGCACAGGCCCATTCTGCAGCTAAGTTGCTGAACTTCAGCACAGAAGAATATATCTCTCTTTTTTTTTTGAAAATGAAGCAGAGAAGCTGTCTTTTCCAGGCAGAGTTTGACTGACTTTTATCCCTTAGGAGATAAAGCAGCTGTCTGGTGCCCAGAAACCTTCTCAAACCTTAATCCGTGCTTTGCTTCTGGAAAGGGTTCTTTCTTTTTTTTCTTTTTTTTTTTTTAAAGTTTTGCATTGTGTATTTGAAATGAACTGTTTAAACGTTGTCAACTTCCACATGCTCAGATACTGTCTTTTTTTTAAAGAAGATAGTTGAATAAGAACGAAGGCGGCTGTCTCCATTCTTCGCCTTCAGCCTTTCAGACGCTGATGGAGGAGAGCAAATAATCCTTTCCAATATTGCTTCATCAGAGTTTGACCTGTGAGCTGTGTTTGCTGGCAGCCCGAGGTCCCAGTATAAACAAAATCTGCATCTATTTCCCATTTTTGGAGCGCGTTCTTTGTCATGTGGCAACAGAGCTGGTTCTCCTCCTGCTTTTTTGCTCAGAGTTTGCTTTTCACGTGCCTCTGCCTGATGTGGCCTTGGTTTGCTGGCCTATCTGGCTGAGGCCAAAGGATTGCTGTTGTGGTGGAAAGGAAATGAATGCAGGTGGCTACAGTCTGGCTTGTCATCAAGTAATTACAGCAGATTTGAAGGTTTGATAAGGGCACTTGTCTCCCTCAGGAAAACAGGATTTTCCCAGCTCTCTCTGCTCACAATAGCAAGGTTGCTTCATTCCCCCAAATTCTTGTTGTTTTAAATGCTTCCCCCATAAGGCTTCCAGATTAGCCTTGTGCCAAATATGTGGTAAGATCTCAGATAAATGACTAACCCATTAATCGTCCATTGCCTTTGTCTTGCTGCCTTTGTCTTTAGAAATGCAGTTAGTTTCCCAGCGGCTTAAATTTCAATCATTAACAAAACCTCATGCCTAGCATGTCCCAGTTCAGCCGCATCACTTGGAGTCGCTTTGATTCCTGCTGTTAAACATTTGACCGGGTCTTGGGTGTTAATCACAATGGGCTACCTTTAAACTTTTGGTAGTTGTGACTTTTCTGTCTCTGGACCCCATGCTTTGAAAATGGGATCGAACAGATTGAGATGGAAAACATTTGGTGGCCAGTGACACCCACAGACAGTTGGAGTACTCCTTGAATGTTATCTAAGAAGCTAACATCCTTGAATCACATAATTGCAGCATAGGAAACATGGGGAAGGCTGGCTCTGGAGAGATGGCTGGAAGCCTAAAATGCGTCTTTTAAAGTGTGGAGCTGTGCTGAGTAAGGACATAAAGGATGATCAAGTCTGCTTATAAATATGCCTGCTTCCCCTTTCTTGTCCAGCTGTTTCAGAAGGAGCAAGTGGACCCCCTTCAGCTAAAATTGCAGCAAGTGAATGGAGTTGGTCAGGGCCTCATCCAGAGTGCAGGGAAAAACTGTGATGTGCAAGGGTTGGAACATGACATGGAGGAGATCAACACCCGCTGGAACACTCTCAACAAAAAGGTAGGCATTCTCGCCTTGCTTTGACAGAGGGTGTGGTGTGATGTTATCCTAGGTTTGCTGCAGCGTGGATGAGTAGTTTGAGCAGGACCAAAAGAGGTCTAAAGAGCCGTTGAAACATAGAAGAGTAACCTAGCAATGGGGAATTGGTGTCTTCTGTTTCCCGGTGGAAGCTGAGAGCACTGCGCTTCTAATGATGTGCGTGTTTGTACGGTGTAGGTGGCACAGAGAATTGCACAGCTGCAAGAGGCCCTGCTGCATTGTGGGAAATTCCAAGATGCCTTGGAGCCATTGCTGAGCTGGCTGGCAGACACCGAGGACCTCATCTCCAATCAGAAACCTCCATCTGCAGAGTACAAAGTGGTGAAAGCCCAGATCCAGGAGCAAAAGGTAAGCAAGGCAGACTTGGCAAACTCCATAGAGGATCTGGGTGCACAGGACCTGGAGGCAAGATGTAGAGTGGGAGCGCAGAGTGCTGCTAGGGACAGAACGCAGCCAGGAATCACTTGGATTCATTTCAGATGAGAAAAAATAGCTGTGACATCACATTACTAGTGTACAGCCACCAATCTGCAGCTGCAGCTTACCTGCATTCAAGTATTATACTGCATCGTTCCTGGTCTTGTTATCCATTTCTGCTATCTTAATAGTCCAATTGAAACTGTTATATATACCATACATAATGAATGTATGTTGTATTATACAATATGTTTTATATTAATATATAATATATATTTATTAATACGGGACATGGAGCTGGCTCTGGCATTCCGGCGACATTTTATTAACACGCTAGCTTCCTTCTTGGTTTGGTTTTTCTTTTCCTTCACTTATAGCAAACTTGTTTTTCTGCATGCCGACAGCTACTGTGTTATATCAGGTTCAAGGAGGTTTTTCTGTGTATAGTTGCCTGTGTTGGAGTGTGAACAAAATAAATATATACAGATAAGAAGACTAGCCAAACACAAATAGGTCCTTTAAAAGTAACAAGCACAGGTTATGAATCAGTGTTGTTAATACTTCAGTGAAAAGTTTGCATGTGTCAACAGTGGTAAAATAAAATAAAAAGTTTGAAAATATTTATAGCAACCCTGTGATCAGCAACACTGTTTTGCACATGAGTTTTTTAGAATGGGAGGTTGGAGAGAACATTATCATTTAACCTGCACAGTTGGGGTGAATCCAGGCAGGATCTCAAGTTTCTCTGTTTAAACAAAAGCATTTCAGAGCATTTTTTTGGTCCTTGTCTTTGGAAAGAAGAAAACCTCACTGTTGACTCGCTGAGCTTGGTTTGGTTTCATCCCAGTGCTTATTAATGGTTTTCAGACACAGTTAAAGGTTTGATGTCTCCAGAGGCAACAGCGGCTCTTCTGACTCAATTTAGTAACTTGGTGACTTTTTCCTCTTCTTTGTTTTACCGTTTATGTAAAAGCTGCTCCAGCGGCTGCTCGATGATCGCAAGGCCACTGTGGAGATGATTCAGGCAGAGGGTGGGAGGATAGCACAGTCAGCCGAGCCTGCAGACAGGGAGAAGATTGTTTGCCAGCTGGAGAGTCTTGCAAATCGATGGGCAGGATTGCTCAGCAAGGCAGCAGCCAGGTAAGTCAGGAGAGTGGGAAGGGCTGGTTTCATTTCCCCTGAGCTTTGCAAGGGGCGACATTCCTTTGTGCCTGCTTAGATGATCCCAGCAGGAAAGCACATGATGTGCTTTGCCCCCATGTATATTTTTTCCCTGAATTAACCTAACAGCTTTCTGCTGCAATCCAGTCCCTATGCACGGGATTTTTAAGGTTCAGGACAGATGTGGGGCACTATTTCTGAGACGCCTCTGATGCCGCTGGAATCTCTTTATTCATTGTGAGCCATTGTTAATATAGGCAGCGTAAGCCAGAGTCAGTCTCGATGATCTGCTTCATCTTTGTATTAGGTAGTGTAATACAACTTCTTTCGCAGCCTACAAGGATCTGTGTTCAGATTAGTTTACAGAGCTCAACTTTTTGCACATGGTAGAGGCCAATTTATGAATAAAAGGATACAGTTTATCATTTATTATTTACACTGTAGTCCATTATAATGAATCATTGTAAGCTGCTTTGAGTGGTGGAAGCTGTGGTGCTTATGTTTTTTAACTGTTTTTAGTACGCATTAATGAACCAGCTGATGTTCAAAATATTTTCTGCTAACATAGCTCTTCAGATTTGCAGCTGTGTTAATCCACTGGTCAGTCTTGTGGGCCATTTTGTAATCATGGGGAACGCAACATTTAGAAAGTCCAGTGAGATTCCTTTACTGAAATATCCTGGAAGCAGTGATCAGAAAAACATGAGATACCAAATGTGTTTTGGGAGGGTGAAGCAGATGGCATAGTTTATAATGCTGTGGAAATGCTTAGACGAGATTAATTCCCTTCACAGGGTGTGTGTTATTTTTATTCCTTGGAGTTTGACTTTCTGCTTCAACCACAGTGTATATTTACACCTTTCTGCTGCCTGAATCTCATTTACAAGATGCACATGGCTGCATAATGTAATATAATGAGGTGCAGGGCCGTCCATAAGGGCCAAATCCACTTACTGATATTTGCAATTCTGGTGGGGATAAGTGGGCTGCAGGCTTCAGAGCTGTCAGTCTGACGTCTTTCACCAAACTGCCTTTAAAAGCTTGACATTTGGATGTTAGCAGTCACTTTGGGGGTCTCTGGGTGATGATGCCATTAATGATAGAACAGCAGTATAATGGCAGTCTTTTTCTTGACTTCAATGGAAGTTGGACTGGACCCTAAAGCAACATCTGGGGAAGGAGGCTTCGTCTGCAGTTTGTGTGGAATGTGGTGTGTGTTTGCATTTCCAGTTTGCCTGACAAGGTGTTACACCTGGTACTGAACAGAGGTACTTCTGTTCCTCTTTCCAGTGCTTTGTTTCAGGGTATTTGCACTCTGACCCGTTTCCATTGCAGTGCATTAAAAGTTTCCTAGCGCAGCACACTATTTACAGTGACATTAAGTTGCTCCGTCCTCAGCTGTTTTGTTATTGTCTTGACGTAGGCAAAAACAACTGGAAGATATCTTGGTTCTGGCTAAGCAATTCCATGAAACCACGGAGCCAATTTCAGACTGGCTGTCTGTGACCGAGAAGAAACTGGCCAACTCTGAGCCCACTGGAACTCAGACGGCCAAAATCCAGCAGCAGATCACTCGGCACAAGGTAGGAAATGGCTCCCATGCCATGTGCACAGTACTGCTGCGTGCAGTCATTTGCCAAGATGTGCTTGGGTGGCCATATCCGCCGTCGTTAGACCTATGTGAATGAGATGACCCAAGGGTGTGCACAAAGCAGTCTTCAGAGCAGTGGGAAAAATTGCCACGCGATTTCAGAAATCAAGCGGGGAATCATGACATAGGAGGCCCACTGTTTGCTTCTGGCCGTAATATAACATATGTGAGGGTTACATCTTTCACCACTGGCTCTCCGTGGACAAATGTTGTGTATTGTTTTAAAGCTGGTATTTGATACATGTCATGCCTGTCCCCAGAAGGAGTTTATCTTTATTTTGTTCATTAATTACATTTGTTGTGTTTTCATTTTTTCAGTTTTTATTTCCATGTTTCAACCCTTTTGTTTCTGTTGTCCATTTTTCTTTGTTTGTTTGCCTTTGTCATCCTGGATTTTCAGGCGCTAGAGGAAGAAATAGAGAGTCGTGCCCCTGAGGTGAAGCAGGCAGTCAGCGTTGGGCAGTCCCTCTCGTCCCTGAGTTGCCTAGCTGAACGCAGCATGCTGGCGGAGAAGCTAGACACGCTTTGGGCCCGGTACAGTGAGATTGAGGATCGGTGCTGCCGGAAGGCAGCCTTGCTCAATCAGGCCCTGTGTAACGCTAGGCTCTTTGGGGAGGATGAGGTGGAAGTGCTCAACTGGCTTGCCGAGGTAGAGGACAAGCTCAGCTTGGTCTTCGTAAAGGATTACAAACAGGAGGTCCTGCAGAAGCAGCATGCTGACCAGCTGGTATTGCCATTTTCCATTCTTTCACCTTGATTGCTTTGTTTTACTCTGTGTTGACTGTTTTGATCCATTTTTTGAGTTTTTCTTGACTTTAATTTTAACCAGCACTAGGACAGGTTTCTGTTTTTCCCCCCTCCTTGTCTCCCTCTCAAGATTTAGAGAAAGTAACCTAAGGTTGGACAACACTTGGTGACCCTTGAGGTCCCTTCCAGCCTTAAACTTATGGGACGGTTCATACATCAGAACCAAAGGGCACTCAAAAGAATTATTCCCTGGTGGTTCATAGAATCTGAATGGTTCGCTCCCTCACCGAACAAGGTTGGCCGCCATTTCCCTTGAAAATTTCCAGCCCTTTTCTCTTCGAGTAAAGTGAGGCAACAAATCCCAGGCCAGTCCATCTAACCCCTGCAAGCTGAAGAGAAAGGTCACGCTTTCTCTGGGATCAGTGTCCTCTCTCCAGCGTGCAGTGCTGAAAGGCCTCTCCGTCGAGGTGGGTAACTGCTGTTGGCTCTTTCCATTCAGGCTCTGAACGAAGAGATTATGAACAGAAAGAAGAATGTGGACCAAGCCATTAAAAACGGGCAAGCGCTTCTGAAACAAACAACAGGTAATCAGAAGAAGGGACTAGATTCTGACCCTCCTGAGACACGCCCCCCGGGCACGTCTCACAGTCACCACTTCCTCGGTCAAGCTTCTGGCTTAGAAACCTGGCTGCTGTCAGCTGCAAAAATTTGTCCAGAGGAGGCTGTTTATCCTTGAATCTAATTTCCTCTTGGACTCTTGAGAAGCTGCAGGAGTCGTTTCACATCTAGCTTGGTGGCTGCTGTACCTTGTGCATTCTTCCTGCTTGGTGGACCCTGAATGCCAAGGTCTTCAGCATGCTGTGCTGGCTGTAGAGCAGAAGTCTCCAAAGGCCTCTACAAGGCATTTGCTGGCGGTCTGCATGGAGCTGACATGTAATATAGGGTAGACACTTTTGTTTTCTAGTTTCCAGCTGCTAAATCACATGGAAAGCAGCTAAAAATATGCTAAGGACTTCCTTAATATTACTTTCCCATGTAAGCAGTTGCTGCCGTTGCCACGTGGGTGTGATTTGTTTATGGGGGGGAGGCGAGGTGATGCAAGGCAAGCTGTTGAGATGAAGTCTATGCTGTGAACAAATGTGAGGACCTTTGCCTTAGACAAATCTGTATTACCAAAAAAAAAAGAAAAAAAAAGACCAGCACAGTTTTTTGGTTTCCCTTCCTCTTATGCAGGAAGAGAGAGTCATGTCTCTTTTTTTCATTAGTCAAGAACTTAGCAATGTTTGCTTTAGACTTTATTGCAAGTCCAAGTGAAACGAGACTTTGCTCCTGGCTTCATTTCCATTGTGGAAAGAAGCTAGATGTTTCTGGCTGGCGGGAAAATATCAACGGCAGCAGCAGCTTTTTGCCTGTAAAAACAGTGTCTTGCTTGCACTGATCTGGAAAAAAAAAAGTAGCCTCTAAAAGTACCTGTTTAAAATAAAAGAACAACAAGTTGCTTAAAAAGAAGGGCCAGAGCTTTAGATATGCAGAACTGACCGTGCGTCTCCATCTTACAGGGGAAGAGGTGCTGCTAATACAGGAGAAGCTGGATGGCATCAAGACTCGTTACTCAGATATCACAGCCACTAGCTCTAAGGCGCTTCGGACGTTGGAGCAGGCACGGCAACTGGCAACCAAATTCCAGTCTACACACGAAGAGCTGACAAGCTGGATGAGCGAGGTGGAGGAGGAGCTGTTGTCCAGTGGAGGACAGTCGCCTGCTGGAGAGCAGATCCCCCAGTTCCAGCAGAGGCAAAAGGTGAGAGCTTTTTAAAATCAGCAGCCAAAGATAGGGGTGAGTGGTTCTTTGGAAGGAAAGGCACTGAGGGTGGTGGGGAAGCTGCATATTGCCCTGAGAAAACTTGCGAATGAGATGGAGAGGATATCATGTAGAATGAGATACAGTTTGCTCATTGAGTACAATGCTTGTGGGGGGTTGTCGAAGGGAAAAGTCCCAGTGCTTTGCTTTGGGAAACAACTGAGGGAAGCGGTCATTTTTCTGCATATGGATTGCTGAATCGCAGACATTTCAAAGCTCATGTCAAGACCAATTAATGCATAAACAAAAGCAGAAAATATGTTGCCTGTCACTGTCTCCTTTCTACCACCTTCTTCCCATCAAAACCTTCCAGACCATGCAGTAAGCAGTTCTTAAGGTCATCTTCCTTCCCCGTTACTCTGTTGCTCCCTTCTTTGAAGCCTTCTTACAGACTCCCCAGGCACTAGTACACGTGCTCTGGGGGTGGAGGGGGCGGTGTTTTAATTATAGCGGCTTCAAGAGCTGCTCTAATTAAAGTGCTGCCGTGTCTTGTGCATCAGCGTCCCTGCGCTTAAAAATGGCAGCAGGGGTGCTTGAACAAAAGCTCGTTCGACAAGCTTTAGTTCAAGCGGCCCCACTGCCATTTTTAAACTTGGGGAGACTGATACATGAGACACAGGAGGCTGCTGGAGTGCAACTGCCATGGGCCAGCAAACTCGATTAATTGAGTCTGCTCTGAAGTGCTGGAGTTCCAGCGCATCAAAGCAGCCTCCATGCTCGTGTGTAGGTGTCCTCCAATTCCCACCCCATCAAATTCAAATGACTATTCTTCATCTTCAAGGCCCTTCCTAACTGCCTCTCCCCAACTCCTCAGCCCTTGACTCTTCACACATTCCCAAAGAATGTCAGTTTGGAAATACCCATTTGCCATTCCCTCTGAACTTCCTTCTATCCTGCCTCATACGGATGGAGTCCTCTCCCTCTGCCAGGCCATGGTGCAGGTATTGAAGGATATACGCAATGCAGGAAACAATGGGTGAAGAGGAAAGAAGGGGTTGTGATAGCATTAGATGGTAATGATCTGAATAGATTGCAGAGAAATAAGGGAAAGCCTGGATAACAGAAAATGTCTGCGTCATAATTCCTTTTAGGCAGTGCTGGTAAGAGGTTCTACTGGGGTAGCACTGGGTGTTTGTTAATGACCCCGAGATTACATGTAGGTGTGGGTAGAGGTCATTAGAGAGATATGTGTCCAGTAATGTGGTCATTTTGAGAGACTTTCACTTCCCAGGTACACATTGCAGAACAAATGCCCCTAATAACAATATAACCCACTTCACCAAACAGTTGCTAAGTCAGTGAGAGGTGATGCCATTGTAAACTTGAGTTTAAGCAGCGGCAACATTATAGAAGCACCAGTTATGGGAACTACCCTTGGACCAAGTGATTACAAGTTGATTTAAATTAAATGAAAGGATTAACACAAGACAGTCTGTAACTGAGGCTCACAATCCTCAAACAGTAGACTTGGCCAAAGCCAGCAAGTGAGTTGTTGCAGTCACCTGGATTAAGAAGTTTTAGGGGATTGAATGTAGAGGAGCCATGGGACTTCTTCAAGTCAATTCAAGTTGCAATAACTATGTGGAACACATTTCCCACACTTTTTTGAAATACTTTAGGGCAGAGCTGCTGACTTGACTGGACAAATACCCACCTGAAACAGGTGTAAGCAGAGTGTCTAGTTAAAAAGGACTGATCATCAAAGAAAGCTATTTCATAGAATTCAGAAGGTGCAGGGCTGCTGCTGCGGTGTTGCTGCTGCTGCTGCTGCTAACCATGATTGTGATGAACATGAGGGTAAATGCAGTGTGGCGAATGAGAGTGAGTTTATGGAAATGGATATTGCCACATTCAAGGTGGAAGCAAAACTGAAAGGACTTGGTGTACTCAAGTCAGGGGGACTGGATAATCTTCACCCGAGACATCTGAAAAAAAAATTGGCAGGTGCAACTGTAGCTTTGGCAACAAGTATTTTTAATGAATTAAGCAAATTTGGAATGACACAGCGTGACGGGGGAATAGCAAATGTTACCTGTCTTTAAGGATGACCCCAGCAATTCTAGACCTGTTAGTACAACCTCAATAGCATGCGTTGCTTAGAATAAATGTTAAAGGAAAGAATAACTGAAGATGTGGAGGGGAGAGGAAAACAGGATAAAAGGCAGCATGGGTTTACAAAAGGTAAATTGTGCCAGGCTAACCTGATATATTATCAAATATAACTAATTTTCTAGAGAGAGGTAAGGGGTTGATCTACTTTATCTGGTCTTCAGTAAAAGGGGCGCTGTATTCCCTGATGGGAAATTATCCGTTCAGGTAGAGAAGATGACAGGTAGTACAAGAACCATGCAGTGCATAAGGAGTTGGCTAGAAGGGAGGTGACAGTGCGTAGTGCCAGAAGGGGAGCTGTCAGGCTAGGGGGACGCTGCTAGTGCAGTTCCTCAAGGTCATTCTTGGGATCGATCTTATGTAATATTTTCCTTGTCTCAGAAAGTAGGAGTATACTTGTGAAACTTGCTGATGGCACATTGTCAATACAGACAAATTGACAGCAAGAGCTCAATGATCTCATGGACTGGAGTAACAGGAATAGGATGAAGTCTTATAGTCTGACGTGCGAGGCCATGCCCTGAAGTAGAAATAGCAAGATGAGCAGTCAAGGAAGAGAAAGACCTGGGTGTAGAAGCCAGTGATTGATTCACTGCGTTGCCACGTTGGCTTTGAGAAAGGGAAATATGATCAGTCAAGGGTTTCCAGGTAGAGATAGGGAATCATTAATGCTGTTCCACAAGGCTGGGGGGGAGCTGCAATGCTCCATGCAGCTTTGGTCGCTCGTATTCAAGCAAAATGGATTAAAACGGGAAGAGGCATGAAGAATGCTGCCACAATGATCATGGGAAAGGAGAGCTGATCTTCTGTGAGAAAAGTAAAAGAGCTTGGCTTCTTTAGTCTGTGAAGCCTGTGGGGGAGATGTGACTGCTACCTACAGATGTGCCGGGGGAATGGAAGGGGGTGGGGTGGAGAGGAAGAAGAAAATAACTGTTGGTTAAAAGAGAAGGCTGGCACAAGAGCAGATGGGAACAAGATGGTCCTGAATACATTTAGGCTGAAAGGTAAGTGGTTCTGGCACAGCCTCCCAACAGGAGAGGTAGGGCAACTTCATGCGACTTGTTTTCAGATGGAGCTTGACGGGCTTAAAAAGCATGGTTGCCAGCGAGAGTAGAGTGCTGGACCGGGTGGCCCAGGAGATTCCCATCCTCGAGGCCCTCTCCATCTTCATTCTTGGCTGGTTCCTGAGGGCTGGGTGAGGGCACATGAGCGTAGCCACTTAGTGATTTATAAAGGAGGAAGAGAGTCTGGTCTAAAGGTTTGGAGGCATCCAGCTGGTCACACAACTATTTGAATGTAACTGCTGTACGGCTGCCCTTGTCCTTCTTCCTGCGGAGCCCTGGACCCACTTACCACGTAACGGCATTGCTCACACTCTGGTGAATAGATCCGTTGCAAGTCTTACAGCATCAGAGAGATTGAAGGGCACTTGGCCTCAGAAATGTTGCAGATGTAGTGGCCCCTTCTTTGCAGTAGGTGAAAGTAGACTGCACAGTACTCTGTATGCTCTGTATGTGTGGGTTTCAGGAGCTCAAGAAGGAGGTCATGGAGCGCAGGCTGGTGCTCGACACCGTGAACGAAGTGAGCCGTGCCTTGCTGGAGCTGGTGCCCTGGCGAGCCCGTGAAGGGCTGGATAAACTCGTGTCTGACACCAACGAGCGGTACAAGCTGGTCAGCGACACCATCAAGCAGCGAGTGGAAGAAATAGATGCTGCTATACAAAGGTCTCAGCAGGTAATGCTCTAAAGCCAGCTTCCTCCTTGGGTAACAAGCTGGGGAGAGGGGGTCTCCAGAAAGGCGGCTGACTCACCACCACTTCAGCCCAAACAGTATGACTACAGCTTAAGGAATGAGCACTGCAGGACGGGGGAGCCAAATCATAACGTAAACCCATGCTGAGAAATGAGTACTCTTGGGAATCTGCGGGCTGGAACTGTGGACAGAGTTGAGCTGGTTTCTCACCAGTCCAGCTTCATGCTGTTTTGATAAGCCAACCTAGTGCCTTTTCGAGTTGTGCATGAATCTAGTGCTGCTGGCTTACGGATGCAGCTGTCACGTAGACTGTCCAAAGCAGGTGACTTCTAGGCCTAGAAATTTAAATCTTCAGTTCTGCTATCATGTGGGCTTACCCGGAATATGAATCCTGTTAAGTCTTGTTTTCTGTGGCTTGGACAGTGCAGTGAATGACTGTGCTCCATGCCAGGGGCTTTGAGCCCAAACAGAACGCACCCAGAAAAACAGCCATGTAAAAGAGGGGTTTCTCTCCCTGTGGGGAGAGAGAGCTTTCAAGGCGAGGGTGGCTTGCTTTATTATATTCTGCAGTGCTATGTGGTCGGTGCAGTGCTGCTCTGTCCTTCAAAACCTGCTAAAGCAGCAGTACCCTGTTCCAGCTAGAGTCACTCTTCAGTGGCTGCTTGCGGTTAGTCCAATACTTATGGATTATATTTGCAAAGTTCAGAAAGTGCACTGAAATCTCAGTGAGTATTTGAATGTTTAACCATTTCCACAGTTGGCCTGTCTATTATGAATCACATATATAAAACCTGGGGCTATTTTCTTTAATCTCATGCAGGGAGGGGTGCTGCCTCCTTAAAATCTCCCGTACTGGGAGGAAAATGTAGTTTGTCACTTCGGTTTCACTGCGTAAAAGAGTCCGGTCTCTGTTGCGGTCTGCACAAAGCCAGAAGCAGATGGTTGTCAGAAGGAGCAGCCTCCCTTTCGGCCGTTTGTCAGATGAGGGGGCATCTCTCCATGGAGCTGTTCCCTCAGTATTGCCGAACCATGATTGACCGCTTAAAGTAAAGCAGCGGTTGTTTCTGCGTGGCATGAAAAAAACAGGCTGAACAAACCTAAATCCATTGGGTAACTTCCTCCCCCGTCAAATGTGCCTGCAAGTGTTGGCATTAAGGTCCTGTTTTTCCCTGCCTCTCTTGCTTGTATGTGGCTGTGTGAGGTGTCTGCAGCTCGGTGCCCAGCCGTGTCCTTCCTCTGTGCGGGGTCAGACCTGCTGTTATGTTTGCATGTTGCTGCGTGTCTCCCCAGTGTTCTTGATGAAGCCACACTGCTTTTATTTGGGACCTCGGTGTCTGCGGACGCTCTTGCTGAGTGTGTGCTGTGCTGCCCTGGAGAATTGAGCGTATGGGCACTTAGAGGCAGCTATGTTACAGCCGTGCGTGAGTACCGTGTGTGGAGTGGTGCCACGCTTCCCTGAGAGGCGATACGCCCTGCAAGACCACTGTCCCTGCTGTAGCAGATGTATGTCACAGCGTGGTGTGCGCTGGCATGCCTGTGTCGACGCCGTCCTTGCTGTGTGCTCTGCTAACTTGTTGCGCTCCGTCTCCTCTCCCTGTCTGCTAGTATGAGCAAGCTGCTGATGCAGAATTAGCCTGGGTGACTGAGACCAAACGGAAATTGATGGCCCTTGGTCCAATTCGTCTGGAGCAAGACCAAACCACAGCACAGCTGCAGGTCCAAAAGGTACGTGCAGGCTGCATGCACTTCTTTGCCTTGCTACGTGATGGAGTGGACAAGACCTTGCTAATTGTCCAGGGCAGTGAAGAGAGGAAAATGCCTCGTTGAAGCAGAGGTGCTGAGTCCAGTGGAACAACTGATTGGTGTGTCACGAAAAGCAGAAATGAATTCACTGGCTAGAGCCAGTGTTGGAAAGGAAACATGGATAGTTTATTGGCTCAGCTTTAGCTGGGGAAGAATGTGTTTGCTTCCATAGAGCACGACAAAGTATGGGCCAGCTCATTGGCCTGGGTGATTTGGAGTATTAGAAGGTGAATCGTTTGGGTGGAAGGGTGGAGACTTTTTTGGGTGGATTGTAACATGATCTTACTTTGAAGAGACGTGGTGGTTTTACGCAGCTGGGTCTGGAAACACCAAGAGAATAAGAAAACACCCATCTCTTCTACAAGTAACGGACAAAAAAATGGTGATTTAGACAACTAAGCATCACCTATCCAGCAGAAATACCTAAATTTTTGGGTACCACAGAATCATTCTAATAGGTTAAAAATTACCTGTGTTTAGACACAAGCAACTCCTCACATGGAGGACTCTACTGCTTTAACCGCAGGCCTGCCATGCATCCCACTTCTACAAGCTTCCAGTTGTTTAAACCTCTGTTCTTAGACGCTTTCGAATCTATAAGATTCTGCACATTTCCTTCACTGGCTTATTAACTTCTGTCTTTATCCCCCTTAAATTAGGGTTGTACAAAGCTCTGTGCAGAGGTAATTATCTCTCTTTGCATTCCCTTTAGGGCATATAGACCATCTATGGTAATGCTAGCAAAACTTTCATCTACTCACGCGAATAAATGTGTGTTTGAGGTTCCCCCCTTTTTGCAGATTCTCTGTTGTAGCCCACAGGGAGCTACTTTTCATGAAATGGTGATGTGCAGAGTCCAGATGGAGTTGCATTAATAGCAGTTATAGCTCCATTTAATGCCCGACCACTGCTTGTACACACACTTACTTTTAGCACCATATTGCACCCCGACCCCGGACTGCAGAGTGTTTAGCCATCTTACTGACTCCCTGTTAAGTGTCTAGTACTGAACATCGTGGTTAGAGCTCTGTGGTTTTAAATCTCCTTTTGGGAGACAGGCTTCATTTGGAATCATCTAACATGGATGTAAAGATCTGGGTGTGAAGGTCACAAAAGATGGCAGATGTAATGTCAATAGGGAAATGCGGTATTTGGTTTAACATGTAGTTTACATTTGCTTTTCAATTTCCGTTCCTTTCAGTGGAGCAGACTAGTGGCTCTAGATTCCCTCCTGACGTCCCCATTTGGGGCAAAGAGACATGGGAAGTTGCCTCTTTAGGAAGTGATGACCACCTCATTGCAATGGAGGACATTGAGATTATAGAAGCTTATAGAGAAAAAAATACACTTGCTAAATAAGTTAGTAACAGCTTCCTCGGGCATGGCTTCAAATGAAAGGTTCTGGGGGCTTTATAATAATAGAAACATAAATTCTTATTGGATTTTGTGAATTAAAAAAAAAATCATTGTTAAAATGATGAGGGAATGAGCCGGCACATATGAAGGTAAATTGAGCTAGGCTTAGCTTCCAGCTCCTTGTGGGGATCTTGTTATAATCATATGACCCTTCGAGTATACATTTTATTTGCACTACTGCACCTTCTTCCACCTACAGTTTTGTCTCCAAGTATTTTGAGGTATTAAATAGAATTCACCCTGTAATACCCCCATGAAACAGATTGCAGATGGAAAACCTTAGACCCCCAATGGTTTGACTTACCTAAAGTCTCACAGCAAATTAGTGGAAGGATTAGGAGTGGGATCCATCCAATACTTTGTCTCCACCTTTTCTGTAAGGTACATAGAAGTCGGTCTGTTTCTCCTGGCTCTGCCGTTGCCTCTGGGGTTTCAGGAAAGATGCTTTCTGGAAGGCTGTAGTGGGTTCCTGATGTACTGCATAAATGAGCATGAGGTGGACCCTGCTTTCTCTGAGTCCAACACAATCTCTCACTTCAACCATTTTTTTGCCCTGCTTTTGAAAGAGAGGGCAAGTTAACGAGGAGAATGCAACTCCAAAGCACAGTTGAGAAGGAAATGTGGTTGTGTTACAGAGTTGGTTTTTCAGCGTGCTGTAGGACATCTGATCCAGTATTTGCAATCTGTCTCTCATCTGCTTGGTAGAAGTGGCCTCCAGTAGGTGAGGGGTCAGGCATCTGCCTGCTTTGCCAGAGCACCTGGTGTCCACTCCCCAGTACAGCCACCTGGGGAAAGCAAAGGGTTCAGTTGGAGATGAAGCTGATGGTTTATTTTGATTTTTCTTTTTGGAACATTTCCTTCCCACAGGCTTTTTCCATAGACATCATTCGGCACAAAGATTCAATGGATGAGCTGTTCAGCCAGCGAAATGAGATTTTTGGAACATGCGGGGAGGAACAGAAAGCCATTCTACAGGTAAACCAGTGTCTCTGATGCACATGGGTATTGTGCAAAGGAGAAGGTTAGATCCTGCATTTCAAATAGATCTACTCCTGGCAAGTGATGCGTTGAAGACGTGGCGTGGGAAGTGGACCATACAGTTCTTGCATCTGTTTCCTTGTTTCTTTTCCTTTTGGTTTTTAAATTCAGCCCACCTGCAGTCATTCCAAACACTCCCACTTGAAATCTTTTATCCCATTTATTGGCTTTTTAATTTTGTTGCGATGTTTATAGGAAATTGCTTGTCGAATGATTTCTGATATCCAATATCACCCAACTCCACCACAAGTGTCTTCTACCACTTCTGTTTGCTCCCATTAGCTGGCTTATTTTCTTTGCTCCTCTGTTCAGCACCAACTCTATAGTCTTCTCCCATTCCATCTAGGAGAAAACAGAGTCTCTGGTGAAGCAGTATGAAGCTGTTAGCCAGCTCAACTCGGAGCGCTATGCCCGCTTAGAGCGGGCACAGGTCCTGGTCAACCAATTCTGGGAGACGTATGAAGAGCTGAATCCGTGGATTGAAGAGACGCAGGTGTTGATTGCCCAGTTGCCCCCTCCAGCTATTGATCACGAGCAGCTTAAGCAGCAGCAGGAGGATATGAGGGTAAGGAGGGAGGTTCTTCACTTGCATCTTCTATATCTGGCAGAAAAGATTTAGCCAGGTGTGTAACAGGGAGGCCTCTGGCCAGTGGAGCTAGGAGTGGCCTGTCCGTGCGTTCTGCAGATAAGCAGGTGATAGGCAACTGACCAAGAGCTCTTTATTTTTGGGCTTTCTGGCTACCTAATACAACAGCAGCACTTGCGAATCTAGGCAGTCTCAGGTATTTGTTTCCTCCTGCAGTAAGCAGTTTTTAATTGACACAGACATTTTCAGTGCAAACTCAGCAAAATTTCATTGTCTTTGTATTTTGCCCTTCTGGCTTTAAGATGGCCACAGTAAGGCTGTGCGTGGGGAGGAGCAAGCGTCCTGTCTGAGAGAGATGCGCCAGGAAAGGAAGTCTCCTTAGGGTCAGCCCCTCAGTGGTGTGGGAGCCAAGAACTGCTTGGTGGTTCAGAAATAAGACGGGAATGGGGGAGTCCTCAGATAGCCAGACAGAACAAATTGCAAGTATGACATCTGGCTGCAGTGGTGGTTGATACCTTAGAAATCCCCGGCACTGTGCACTTGAGACGGACTTGTTCAGGATTTACCTGGAGTATCTGTGGCATGGATTTTCACTCGAACGAACATTGTACAAAGTAACCGTGTCACGTGGATTCAGACTCAAACCACTCTTTACTTGTGTTCCCATTCTTTAGCAACTGAGGGAGTCTATTGCCGAACATAAGCCTCATATTGACAAGCTGCTGAAAATTGGACCGCAGCTCAAGGAGCTCAACCCTGAGGAAGGTGAGATGGTGCAGGAGAAGTACACAACAGCAGAGGCCATGTACGCCAGAATCAAGGAGGAGGTGTGCCAGCGGGCTCTGGCATTAGATGAAGCTGTGTCCCAGTCCACTCAGGTACGTTTCTCCTGACGCACAAAGCTTGCCTGTAGCTTGCCTTTGTGATGTTTATTGCTTCCCCGGCCCTGGGAAAGCAGGCCGGGAAGTTTAGTTTTGCCCTATTACCATGACGTAGCATCGGATGTGCTCAGAGAAGGTGCTTGTCAGCAGGCCGGAGCATCAGTGGTGCTTTGCACAGTACTTGAGGTAGAGATGAAGGCTTCTATTGGTAGATTTTGCAAATGCTGTGCTGAAAGCGCTGGATCCTGAGGGGGTAAATAGGGTAGTAAATTTTTACAGCCTCAATAATGTTCCTCATTAAAAAGGCTTTTTTTTGCATGTGGCCAAACTGGAAGGGTCCAGAGAGATGCTAAGAATTGCTGAGAGAGCTGAGGCTGTTTCCTAATAAGGAGGAAGCTTCTGTGCGTGTAATGAACAACGACAAGATCCTTTATATGGGAGAGTAAATCATCATGCCTTGTAAATGGGCATCTCCTGAGGAGCAGTGAAGTGGAAAAAAGAACAGTGTGAAGGGAAGGGCAGGGATCGTGCCAACTGGAGTTCAGCAAGGATCTAAAGCTCTTCTCTTGCATGTCCCGGGGATTAGAGATTGCTGCTGTGTTTCAATAACTACAGTGATTGTAGCACAATTTTTATGTCGTGTCTGGGGCTTTTTTTTAATATCTGTATTGTTTAGTCACTTCTTTGGGTTTGCACTTGTATTAACTCCGAGTTTTTCCCCTCCCCCCACAATACACTTCACGTCTCATCTCTCACTCACATTGTGGAATGTGTTATCTCTGTGTTTTGCTGCCTGTTCCTGTCTTCCCCACATGGTCCCATTTCATTGTTGTGTTGACTGCGCCCCACCATTGCAGATTACGGAGGTAAGCCTCACCAAGTTAGCCGCTCATTTACATACTCATTTTTTGGCCTAGCGTCGTAATTTATTTTATACCCAGGTTTCTAGTGTACATTTCTATGCAGCAGAATCTGCTAAGAACAACCTGTTGTGCTGAAATTACATTCACGTTGAATTCTATCATTGCAATGCAGCCTGCAGCTTCACTTACAGTGAGCTTCTGCTTAGAATGAACATGTTCTGTACAAAGAGGGTTTTACTGTAAAAGGGGTCTACGCTCACGCATAGAACTTGCCACCCTAGCTGAGCTGGATTGGTTGGCCCATGCTTATTACGCTAGAACCCCTTTTCTTCTTCTTGTTCCCTCTCTCATAATGACTAGCTGAGGAAATCACAGAGCCAGTCCCCTGGCCCACACAGCAAGTTAGAATACTAACTTCTCCTTATGCTCCTCCTTTCATTCTGACATGCAGCTCTTCCTAGATTACCTGTAATGCTAAAGTTAACCGGTGGCCAAGCCTCCTTCCTTTCCCATTAAGCCCAGGCATCTGCTTTTGCTTAGCTGAAGGCCTAGCACTTGTAGCACCCCATTGTCTTTCCCATTTGCATGCGTCTACGCTTTCTACCATCTTGCTGCAGTTGTGTTGGGATGGCTCCTAGGCTACAATTGCACTGGGCTGTGGTCTGCACCAAACGCACGCACACACATTTCCACCTGCGTGTTTGCACGCGTATTGGATCTGGTGTGATTCGGTCCTGATGCACATCTCCTAATTGAGGGGTGCCAGGTATGCTGGAATTGGGTGGTTTGCGGAATAACAACAAATTGCTGCTGTGTTTGGTTCATGGCTTTGTTAGTCTATTCTGTACGTTGATCTAGCTGCAATCTCGTCTAACTCAGCATATAGCTGCCAGTGACAAATAAAACCAGTGCCAGGAATCAAATTGGAAGCTGCAGGTGGAACTGGTATTACAGGGAGCGATATTTCTCTCTAACCAGATAATGCTGAGTGTAATGTTCAGGGCATGCTGTGCTTAGTGGGAATAATGCAGTCCTGCTTAATCAATCTTATCTGACCTGCCTAATGGACATGCCTCTCTCCAGTTCCATGATAAGATCGAGCCAATGCTGGAGACGCTGGAGAACCTCTCCTCTCGGCTGCGTGTGCCGCCGTTAATCCCTGCAGAAGTCGATAAAATCCGGGAGTGCATCAGCGACAACAAAAATGCCACAATGGAGCTGGAGAAGCTGCAGCCATCCTTTGAGGCACTGAAACGCCGTGGGGAGGAGCTGATTGCACGGTCGCAGGGAGCAGACAAGGACCTTGCAGCAAAAGGTATGGCTTAGCCATCTCAGGCATGCTTGGTTTTTGCATTTTTTTTCCATATGCCGTATTTCCCTGCCTACCACACCCCCTAAATATGATGTGCATCTTGTTTTTGGCAAGGCAAAAGAAAACATTTTTTGAGAGTTATGGCTACATAGAGCAGGGATAGAACCTGATATTCAGCTCATTCATCCTCCCAAGACTGGTCTCCATGGGTGGAGCTGTGACTTTGAAAAGAGCTAAAAATCATTTGCAAGGCTGTGAAATAGGAGAAGAGAGACCAGTCATAGCTAAAAGATAGCAAGATTGCCAGAAGAAAGGTTAGCCTGATCAGTGGAACATCAAGACCATTAGAAAGTGAGATGATCATTAACACCTGACGAATGAAGAACCATTACATCAATTGATTCCCTCAGCTGCCTAAATAGAAATGCCACTGCTGCTGTGAGCAGGAATCAAAGCAGAGTGCTTCTATTCCAGTCAGAAAATTATCTTCTCCATTTGAGACATGCACCCTAATTTTGGGGAGCTGATTTTTGGGGAAAAGTTGCACATGCTATGCAATTAAATACAGTAGCTGTTATGGCAAAGGTGGTGTGTGTTATACCTGTAGGCTGCCCTGGTTTATTTTGATTGCTGGGGGGAATGGTATTGAGAGGAGCCTTTGATGGCTCAGGAATAGGTTCAAACCCAGCCCATTTCAATGGTAACCACAAGCTGTTCCTGTGTGATAGCTCTTGGTGGCGAGTGCGATGCCAGATGTTGATATCAGCTCCATCCCTAATTCAAGGGGGCAAAATGTCCCCATCGCAGAAACCCAACTGACAGTAATTGGCACCTTTGCTGGCAAGCCCACAAGCTATCTGAGTGCAGAGATTTCACGCTAGAAGGAGGGAGGGCAGAATTTGATTGGAGGGAGCGTATGGCCAACTTTGTCCTAAAGTTGCCCGTGGTAGAGCTGTTCTGTGGATATATAAAGGTTTTGTTCCAGTATCTCGGTGCTTTTCATATCTTCTGGCTTCTTTGTGAATGAATATTCTCATAGTCTTGGCCGTCTTGAACTCTTGCTCGAATGTTCTGTCAGATGTTTCTAGCTGTGAAGCATTTGTATGCAAATACTTTGGTTAGTAATCGGGTTTTCTTGCTCACAACAGGATTGCAATAAGGAGTCCTTACTCACTGTGGTTTGTTTTCCCCTCAGTAATCCAAGATAAATTGGATCAGATGGTGTTTTTCTGGGAAGACATCAAAGCTCGAGCAGAGGAACGTGAAATAAAGTTCCTTGATGTCTTGGAACTCGCAGAGAAGTTTTGGTATGACATGGCAGCCCTCCTGACAACCATCAAAGACACACAGGACATTGTGCATGACCTGGAGAGCCCAGGCATTGATCCATCCATCATCAAGCAGCAGGTGGAGGCAGCAGAGGTGAGGAGCATGTGGTTTGTGACCACGTTGTGCTTGCAACCAGACATTGTTATGGCAGAGCAATGTGGACCCTCGGCGTGGCTACAAACCCCATTACACAAAAATAATGGGAGAAACAGGATAAGAGCAGTGCAAGAGTTCATGCTTTTAACAAAAGAAAATACCCAATCCTGGAACAGGGCTAAAATCATTGGAAAATGCTTCTCTGGTAAATAGTCAGAGCTGTACTTGACCCCTGCTCTCCATCATGGTTGAAACGAGCTGGTCTCCGCTCCCTTCCTGGATTGGAGACACTGGACAGCTGGCTAGAGCATGTGGCACATTTCCATTCTACTTAGACTGAAGATGACTAAGGAACTGCATGAACCTGGAGAGGAGTGTTGCTATTTAGTTATTTCAGATCACGTGATAGAATCCATTTGGGCTGTCTGCATGCTTAATCTTAGTGTAACTTTTGGGATGGGAAGGGGGGATTATTGTTTGTGCTTTGTTTTCACCTACACCTTGTCCTCCAGTGTATATGTACTTGTTGTTTCCATTCTGTGCCTTTGGTTTAGCACTACTGGCTTTCTCTCAACTAGGTGGTTCTCAAACTCTTTGGAGTTGAGGCACCCTCCGCACCTTTTGTGCATTGAGTGGCACCCAATTTCAAAAACTAATTTACAGTGCTTGCTTCCTTGCAGAGGGGACAGGCACGGGGAATGGGGGACCGGCCAGTCAGGGTCAAGCCTGAACTTGTGCATATCTGTTTATCTCTTTGTACCTCACTAACTGCCACTCACTTCAGCACTTCCTTCAAAGGATCTTGGAGCTCTGTGGCACCCTGGTTGAGAATCACTGCTTTAAACCCATTTCATTCCTCCTTTTATATAATACAGCAAAAGCAATCAGACTTGCGAAGAGTTTCGCCCCCTCTTGAATTCAGCCAAATTAGGTGCTTTATTTTTTTTACCTTGTCATTCCCATATGCATGGTGGAAGCAATGGAGGCTGAACAGTTACACCAGCAGCTGATGAAAATGCCAATTTGTTGCTTAGCGTGGTGCACACATGATGCATAGAAGGCTGCAAGGGTCTCTGCCTTCAACCAGATTGAAAAGCATTAGTGAGGGGGAAAGGAATCTGCTTACTTCTGCACTGCTGTGTGCGATTTTCCCATGAAATAGCATTTAAGCCTCTCTCTCTTTGTTCATTGTGCCTGCCTGCAGACAATCAAAGAGGAAACGGATGGCTTGCATGAAGAGCTGGAGTTTATTCGGATCCTTGGAGCTGATCTAATTTTTGCCTGTGGCGAAACTGAGAAGCCGGAAGTGAAGAAAAGCATTGATGAGGTAGGAGGCAACAACAGTCCTGTTTCCACCCCCCTTTAGCTGGAAGTCCTGTGAAAAGTAGCATGGATTCCAACTGAATAGCCTAATGGATTTGGGAATAATCCCTTGTCTTCTAGATGAACAATGCATGGGAAAACCTAAACAAGACCTGGAAGGAGAGGCTGGAGAAGCTGGAGGAGGCCATGCAGTCTGCTGTGCAATACCAGGATAATCTGCAGGTAAGAGGCATATCTTTAGGTAGTGCTGAGAAGGCCCCAGGCTTGGGCTGGCCTCTTATTTTGCTAGGTGCTGTACAAAAAGATGATCTTGCCCCCGAAGAGCTTCCTGTGTATGTCCGACCCTGTGCGCAATGACTAGCTGAAAGGAATAGAAATATATGGTTTCAGCATTTCTGCCACTGCTTTGTCTGCAGCAGAGACTTGGCCGGCATCCACCCTCCTAAAGGGTTACACGCTTCCGAAGAGAAAACAGCACAATGTACCTGAGCCCAGGCAGTGTCTTCTGTTGGGTGGGAAAGATGACATGAGCTCACTGAGCAGTGCAGTGGCCAAGTATATGCATCGTCAGCCGTTTTACTCTGAGAAAGAAGTCTGTTGTTTGTCACCCGCCCTGTTCTTCTGGCAGCATGTGGAGCTTTGCTTTTCCCTGCCCTGATGCTGATTAGGTTTGGTTTTTCCTCATTTCAGGCAATGTTTGACTGGCTGGATAATGCCGTGATTAAGCTGTGCAACATGCCTCCTGTTGGCACTGACCTCAACACCGTGAAGGAGCAGATGAATGAGATGAAGGTACGCCTGCAGTAAGACCCCATTCTCCATTGCTGCTCTCAGGTGGCAAAGCCCAGCTTCCAGCAGCTGGGTATTCATTCCCCCCCTTCTCTTTGACAGGAGTTTAAATTGGAGGTTTACCAGCAACAGATTGAGATGGAGAAGCTTAATCACCAGGGCGAGCTGATGCTAAAAAAAGCGACAGATGAGACAGACCGAGACATCATAAAGGAGCCTCTGACAGAGCTGAAACATCTCTGGGAGAACTTGGGTGAAAAGATTGCCCACAGACAGGTAAGGTGAAGGTGGGGGCTCCCAAACACTTGAGGGCTGAAGTTGGCTGGTATAGCCTCCTCCTCTGCCACCATCTTGATTGGCATTCTCGTTGCTATCTTGGAACAGCACAAGTTAGAGGCAGCTTTACTAGCGCTTGGTCAGTTCCAACATGCCTTAGCAGAGCTGATGGCCTGGCTGACCCACACCGAAGAGCTGTTAGATGCACAGAGACCGATCAGTGGTGACCCAAAAGTCATTGAAGTGGAGCTTGCAAAACACCATGTAAGTACTTCCTTCTGATCCTGTAGGAACCATGTAAGTACTTCCTTCTGTCTTACCAGATAGTGAAGGATGGGAGCTGGACTTAACAGAACAACTGAGTGCCTAATGTTACCCCCAAATGCCTTGACTAGGTGCTGAAGAATGATGTGCTGGCCCACCAGGCAACGGTAGAGACAGTGAACAAAGCTGGCAATGAGCTGCTGGAATCCAGTGCAGGGGATGATGCGAGCGCCCTGAGGAACCGCCTGGAGAAACTGAACTCGTGCTGGGAGTCGGTGCTGCAGAAAACAGAGGAGAGGGAGCAGCAGCTGCAGTCGACGCTCCAGCAGGTACGCCACGTTCTGGAGACAGAAACTTTCAAGCTTGTGGGACAGAGGGTCTGCTTCTGCTTGGGGTCTCTCTTTCCAGAGTAAAGAGCAGATGTGAGAGAGAGACCTTGTTCTGAAGACTAGTATTTGTATATGTGTGTGTTGGTACATGTGCATACAAACACGCACACGTTTAAAATGGGTATAAACGCCATTCGTGAACTGTCCTGGCATCATAATGCAGTGAGTTCCAAGCACATCAGGGTTTAAATCTGCCAAATGTCCAGGTACCAGGTTGGGAAGCTGTAATGCTAGCATGGCTTAGCTTACCTCATCTCAAAACCTTAAAGTGCCTTGTCTGTGTTGTGTGTTACCTCCAAACTGTCTCTGCACATTAGTTACCCGAGGTAAAAAATGCTCCTTTTTTAGCAGGAAGGCAAGGCTACATAGAGTGACACTCATCTTTTTAAGACGTGTTACTTTATCTTTCCAAGCCAGAGGTACAGTTTTGTGGGGAAGCTCTGTCTAGGAGCAGCCGTCTGTCTTTGGAACATCAACTGTGTTCGTGAATTTGCTGAGATGATTGTATTGTTACGAAGACAAAGCACGCACCCTCATTTTTTTTAATATCTTAATGAATTCTTCTCTGCCTCTTCATCCAGGTTAAAAGCCTAATCAATGGCTGAGGGTGTCATCTGATCCATTTCTGATTGTGTTCTCTAACAGGCCCAGGGTTTCCATGGTGAGATTGAAGACTTCCTCCTGTGGCTAACAAGAATGGAAAGCCAGCTGTCTGCATCAAAGCCCACAGGAGGCCTGCCTGAAACTGCCCGTGAACAACTCAGTGCCCACATGGTAACATCTCAGTAAAGATTTTAAATGTCCCTGATTCACAAAGGTTAACGTTAGGTCCTTGTTAGGTGGTGTTGCCTGATGGGGAGTGGGACAAGCCTTTCTTTCATCTTTCATTCCTTCCAAGGTCACAGAGTAGCCCTGAGTTTGCAAATGGAGGCTGGTATCTCAGTGATAAATGTGTGTCTTTCGGAAGCATTGTGATAATTGCATCAGCGTCACTTTGCTGTCTGTTCTAAACCTAATTTTTCTGTGATCCTGGGTTCCAGTCAACTTTAATTCCCCTGACATGGTATCTCTGCTGATTTTGGGGTAGGAGCTGTATGCCCAACTGAAAGCCAAGGAAGAGGTGTACACTCAGCTGTTGGCCAAGGGGCGACTGATCTTGCTGAATCGTGATGACTCTGGCTCTGGCTCCAAGACAGAGCAAAGCATAGCGCTGCTGGAACAGAAGTGGTGCTTGGTCAGCACTAAGATGGAGGAGAGGAAGGTAATGGTTTGCAATCAGATGTGATCCACTTCCACTATCAAGGAGTTTATTTGCAAGCCAGGCTCCTCACTGCTGAGGAAAGAACGTGGGTCTCTTGCAGTAGGCAGAGTCAGCTGTGCGTCAGGGACCTGGGGTTATTTTTCTGATCCAACCCATGAGATCAGTTTGCTCTGCACTTGTATATACTCAGCATTCTTTCCAAACGAGATAATTTGGTGGATGCTTGAAACCAAAGCAACATTTGTATAGACAGTTACAAGATCAGGTTAAATGGTGTTCCTGCAAATGAAAGTAAAACCAAAGAGGACTGAGGTAGAGACGGAGACAAAGAGGGAGGGAAAGAAATCACTAGGACAATTAAAAGATATGAGAACATCACCCAGTTCTGAAAGGCAAAGGTGCCTTTCTCCTTCTCAAGAGACAGTGAGCCAAATTCCCTGCTGACCCGACTGCCGTAGCGGCATGTTAATCAGCACTAAAATAAAATGAGAAAGGCTGTGGCCTCTGCACAGGTTCAGTTGCTGGCACTGCAGCTGTCCTTGAAATGTCATCTCCTTTCCACTGCCTGAACCATTGTTCACACAGAGATCTGTTTCCCAGGAAGCCCTAGCGGTGACACTACCGCTTGTGTGTTGATTATGGAGCTGCCTCCTCTTTTGTGTACAATTCTTGTCTGCTTGTTTCCGAAGTAACTGATTGGGAAACAGCCACTTGCATTGAAATCTCCTCTTTTTTGCAAACAAGTCATGTTCCCTGGTTGAACTGATGAGGTTCCCATTAGAGGGTTCATTTCATCAAGGATACAATGCATGTCTTTGTCTGCAAAGCCTCAGATTGTGAACTTTGTCGCTCTGCTTTTTTTTATTTTTTCTTCCCCCCTTATTAACATGCAGTCAAAGCTGGAAGAAGCACTCAACATGGCAACAGAGTTCCAGAATTCCCTTCAGGACTTCATCAACTGGCTCACCCTGGCAGAGCAGAGTTTAAACATCGCCCCTTCACCCAGCCTTATCCTCAACACGGTGCTGTCCCAGATAGATGAACACAAGGTAACCTTGATATTCAGGAGCTTTGGAAACTTCTAAAAGCCTGAACTGTGCTCAGGTCATTCTTGGATGTAAGATGCTAGGAGACATTTCCAAGTTTTTCCCACCCCCCCTTGAAATGGGAACCTCCACTCTTCCAGGTTTTTGCCAATGAAGTGAATGCTCATCGGGACCAGATCATCGAGCTAGATCAAACAGGGAACCAGCTGAAATTCCTCAGTCAGAAGCAAGATGTGGTTTTGATAAAGAACCTACTGGTCAGCGTCCAGTCTCGCTGGGAGAAGGTCGTCCAGCGTTCTGTAGAGAGGGGCCGAGCACTGGACGATGCTAGAAAACGGGCCAAACAGGTGAGATGCCTAGAAATGGGTGTCATGGACCCAGTCTCCTCCAGCATGCAGGGTGAGTCTGTGGGAGATATGGAGAAGAACAGGGATGCTGAGTTCTCACTGCTCTCTCCTCTCCTGTCACTGCAGTTCCATGAAGCATGGAAAAAGCTTATTGATTGGCTGGAAGATGCTGAGAATCGCCTGGATTCTGAGCTGGAGATTTCCAATGATCCAGACAAAATCAAGTTGCAGCTCTCCAAGCACAAGGTAGGTTGTTCGAATTGCAGCTGGAATGAAACGGTGCCTTATAGCTGGAGAGGGTGGGAGTCGCTGGAGATGAAATGGAAGTGCCCTGAGGCAACAAAGCACCCTATGACAAAACAGAAGATCCTACAATCACATCTCGGGTAGAGAGCTGTGCAAGAGGGCCGTTCATCCCATGCCTGAAGGTTTTCTAAAGATGTTTCCTCCCTTCCCTTCTCTCTTTGTATGCTCAGGAATTCCAGAAGACACTCGGTGGAAAGCAGCCTGTTTATGACACCACGATCCGGACTGGGAGAGCCCTCAAAGAAAAGGCCCTGTTGCCAGATGACACTCAAAAACTGGACAACTTGCTGGGAGAGGTTCGCGACAAGTGGGATACTGTGTGTGGCAAGTCTGTGGAAAGGTGCGTCTCAAAAGAACATCCCTCGCCATCGTTTCTGCAGGCAACTTTAGCTACACAATACCGTTATAGAAATGAGAGAAGAGAGGGGCTAGTCCTGTGGCAGCTGATTGTCTACAGTGTGCTATCAATAGGAGATGATAGAAGCAGAGCATTGGGAAGAGGGGTGAACAGAAGGATATTTTCCTAATTCAGATACTAGCCGCATTGATGTTTCTGACATAGAGTTCACATGTGCTTTGCTGCTTTCTCTTCAGGCAGCACAAGCTGGAAGAAGCTCTGCTCTTCTCTGGCCAGTTCATGGATGCACTGCAGGCCTTGGTCGACTGGCTTTATAAAGTGGAGCCACAATTGGCTGAGGATCAGCCCGTCCATGGCGATCTGGATCTGGTCATGAATTTGATGGATGCCCATAAGGTAGGAATGAAAATTACCAGCTGTTCTTCAGAGCTCTTGTTCCCCCACAGATAACTGCAAGGCTTATACTAGTATCTCAGTCCAGTGTGTGCTACAAAGGTTCATGTCTTACATATGCAGCTTTGGCCGTAGTGTACCTAAGTAAATGCCTGGGAGACCAGTTTGGAAGACCATGCTGTTAGGTAGGGATTGGTTGTGTTTGGCCTTGGATTTTATCAGAGAGTCCTCACTTGGGCCTCTAACAAATGTTCAGTTAAAGGCGCAGCAGAGTCCAGTCTCAACAATTGTGCCTCCTGCCATACATTGATCAGCTGAGTCAGGTCTTCCAGTTCTGGGAGCTCACTGGCCACACCTTTGATTTCCAGTGTGACAGGAACCTGCCTCAAAATACGACACATATTGTGAGTCATCATTTTGTGGCTTATTCCCTGCTCTGTTGCACCATTCATTGTATGAATGTGTGGCCAGGTTACTACTTAGGACATTATTAACTGGTTAATCACATCTTAAGTGTGATGTCTGCCAGGAACCTTGGGGGGTTCTGTCATTGACAAACTGCTCAAGTTGGTATCCTTCTCCTGGCATTGCTTTGGCTGTATTCATCACTGTGTTTCAAGTTGGCACTTTTGCCTTTGGGTCAGGTCTTGTCAAGTCCCGGAGGTGGGCTCAGGCTGGGTTATAAGACTTGCCATCTTTCGTGTCAGAGGTGGAACCAGGGCTGCTCTTACCAGCCTTTGGAGGTTACCTATTTGGAACGTAAAAGTTCCCATTCTGCTCTAAAAAACCAGAAGGGAGTAACCTGCGTCTCCAGGCCCACTTTCTCTTCCTGTGTGCACATTGTAAAGCAAGTGCGGGTGTTCTCAGTTCGGTGTGTTGTGTTGCTCAGGCTGCCTGTGGGATCACATAGCCTGCTGCCTGCGTCATCTGAGTGAGAGTGGACCTGAAACATGCCCAGCCAGGGTTTATGAAAGCTGCTGCGCTTTGTGTGACCAGCTCTCTTTCAAGGAAAATAAAGGGACAAAGCAAGAATCGAGGCATTTTAAATAGGATTTCATTCCAGAAAGCAAACCACTGATTCAGCTGTTTAAACCGCTTGTTATCGGGCTTGAACTCTTTCCAGATCTGTGCTGTTCCTTCCTTCTAGACTCATGAGTCAACTCCTCAGCAGGGGGAGCTGTGCTTGGACTGTTCTCTCTTTCTTTGGCAGGTTTTCCAGAAGGAATTGGGGAAGCGCACAGGCACCGTCCAGGTGCTCAAGCGCTCGGGGCGGGAGCTCATTGAGAACAGCCGGGATGACACCACTTGGGTGAAGGTGCAGCTGCAGGAGCTGAGCAATCGCTGGGACACAGTGTGCAAGCTGTCTGTGTTGAAACAAACCCGGCTGGAGCAGGCCTTGAAGCAGGTGAGCAGGAGTCTCCCCTATCCCCTCATGTTTCCAGGGCTTCCTATGGAACTGTGAACCTATACAAACGAATGGTGAAGTTGTACGCATAGTGAAGCCGGGGTTTTGTTCTGCAGCTCCTTGTGAACATTTGCTGTCTCCTTTGTGGCTGTGTCTGGGACGTTTCCTCCCTGCACCAAGTGGAGGGCTGTGACCAAGGTCCCTGCTTAACCCTCTGGACATCTCAATTCATTTCCCAGCTCTGACACTGAAAATCTTGGCGATCTCGGGGGAATCACTTAATCTCCCTGTTTCCCCCTTCCCCATTTGTTCCCACTTCTCAGGCAGTGTTGGGAGGATAAGGCAACAGCTGGAGGCTCATACATGGTAGAGTACCACAGACCATGAATATATCGCAGTAGATCGTTTCACTGACAGTGCACAGATGGTGAAGTGTTTAAATCTGATGGTACAACAGACAAAAGCCAGGGCAGTTTAGGGACTTGCAGGTCTTGGTTTTTAAACAGAGAGTAAGAAGAATTACAGTCTTGATTGGAGAAGCAGAGAGAGAGTAGGCCTCAGTGATGCCCAGGATATGCCAGTTTGGACAGGGTAGCATAGACCTATGGAGGATGGTATAAATTGTGATCCCTCATCCAAGAAGAGACCTAAATGTAAAGCTAGAACAGGTAAACAGGGCTTGGGCTGCTGTATTGATCCAAAGAAGCTCCCAGCACTACCAGCATGAGCAGAGGGGGCTGTTGGTGTTTAAACA